AGCTGCACTATAGACTTACCCCAAGAGGCCTGAGGATAGTAGTGCAGGCTAGGAGAGTTAGCCGGTGGTGCAGGCCCAGGGAAGCGGAGCGAGGTGAGGGCAGGGCCAGGACCAGAAGTGGTGCTCCTGGAGCCCAAGAAAGGGACTGGTTTGTTCTGGGTGAGAAGGGTCAGGAAGCAGTATTGGTTCCCCAGGTGTCTGGGGCCCCAAGACTTGGTGTGGCGCAGGGCTCAAACTAGGAGTATAGAACGGCGAGGAGGGGGTGGAAGGGTGAATGTGGCTTAGGGAGTCCGAGCGCGGAGAGCTGCACTGTAGACTTACCCCAAGAGGCCTGAGGATAGTAGTGCAGGCTAGGAGAGTTCGTGATTCATCTTTTTTTTACCCTCCCCCCACATCTTTGTTACAGTGCCACCTACTCATTGAAGTGGCTTCTGATCCTCCCATCTATAGTTGTACCGCTCTTCCTTCCATAATTTATTTGTTCCTTCTGCAGTTATCACCACCTAAAATACTAGATTTCAATTATCTTATTGTTTTTCTTCCAATTCCAGTATATATGGTCCATGAGGGAAGAAAATTTTTATTGAATTTCTGGTCCCTAGTCTGGAAACATCAAGTAAGTAGTAGATGCTCTATAAATATTTTATTTTGAAATAGATTTTTAAACTTCCCTTTCAAATTATCACTTTATTGAGATATAAATCACACACCATAATGTTCACCCAGTAAAGTATAATTCAGTGCTTTTTTTTGGTTGACAAATATATGCACCAACTCCAACTATCTCCAGAATATTCTGCTTGCCTTCAGAGGAAAGCACACAGGTTTTGGTCCTCATGTGCCATTTCCCTTCCTTAGGCTCTGGTAATTGATAACATGTTTATTGTCTCTATGGATTTCATTTTCTTGACATCCCCAACAAATGGAATTCTGCAATATGTGACCTTTTCTGTGTGGCTTCTTTCACTTAGAACACTGTTTTAAATTTCCATCCCTGTATTAAAATGCCCTGTAAAAAATTTAGATATTTCGCATGTAATTTAAACATGCTTAATACTAGTGTTTTTAGTATATTCATGAGGTTCTGTACCCATCATTGCTTCTAATTTCAGAATATTTCCTCTCCCCCCGCAAAGAAATTCTTATACTGGTTTTTGGGTTGGTTTAGTTTGTTCTTGTTTTTCTAGTTCCTTGCTATCTAATGTTAGTTTGTCAATTTGAGATCTTTTTTGATGACGTTGTCAGTTGCTATAAACTTTCTTCTTAGCACTGCTTTTGCTCTGCACATAGATTTTGATAGTTGTGTTTCCACCTCTGTTTGTTTCCTTGATAGATGTATTGATTCTAGGGGGAAATGCTGTTTAATGTCCATGTATTTATGTGGTTTCTACCATTTAATTCCTTGTTGTATTTCATTGTTATCAGAAAAGTTACTTGATATGGTTTCAATTTTTAAAAATTTGTTAACACTTATTTTTGTGGTCCAGCATACGGTCTATCTTAAAGAATATTCCATGTGCTTGCAAGTGAGAAAGGTATCTTCAACTGTTGGGTGGAATGTTTTGTAAATATCTGATAGCTTCATTTAGTCCATTTAGTCTAGAGTATTGCTTAATTAGGGAAATTTTTAGATGATTTTCTGTCTGGATGATCTATCCTTTGATGAAAGAGGATTTGTGAAGTTCCTTACTATTAATACATTATATTACCATCTATCTATCATTTTTAGGTATATTACTAATTGCTTTTTATATTTTTATATTTATTTAGATATTTCCTGTTAGGCACATATACACAATTGCTGTGTCCTCATATAGTACTATATCTATCTATCTATCTTTCTATCTATCTATCTATCTATCTATCTATCTCTATCTATCTATCTATCTATCTATCTATCTATCTATCTATCTATCTATCTATCTATCTATCTATCTATCTAATCTATCTATCTCTCCATCCATCCATCCATCCATCCATCCATCCATCCATCCATCTATCTATCTATCTATCTATCTATCTATCTATCATCTATCTATATTCCTTTTTAATCTCTTTCCAGTTTTTTTAGTTAAAGTCCATTTTATTTGGTATAAGTAGAACTATTTCTACTTTTTTGGGGGGGTTTCCCTTTGCATGGACTATTTTTTCTGTCCCTTTTCCGTCAACCTACCTAGGTTCTTACCGGTTAAGCGAGTTTCCCACAGGTAGCATATAGCTGAATAATCTTTAAAAAATCCATTCATCCAGGATGGGAGAACCTCCGAATTTCCAGGATGCCTGTGCCTTGGGTTCCCGTGACCAGGACTACAGCTGGGAGCAACAGTGGCAGCTGGAGGAACATTTCAAGATGGAACCCTACCCTGACCGTGAGGCTTACAAGGTCCTGGCAGCCAGACTGAACCTGAAGGAGGAGCAAGTTGAGACATGGTTCATCCAGCGCATGCTCGAGCAAGAGCTGAGGCCACCTCGCCCTGACTTGCGTCACTCTGCCCGGCTCAGCATGGTGCCCTATGTTTACCATGGGTCCTACTGCTGCTACAGGCAAAGCTGGCGCTCCAGGCTCATTCCCGTCAACCCAGCAGAGTCCTCACCCAGCCATGAGCATAGCTGCTGATTCTCCTACCCAGAGACCTGGGCTCAGTGGGGCCTCCCCAGCCTGTTTGCCAAAGCCCCTGCCCTCCCCAAGATGCACCAGGCTCTTGGAAACACAGGTTGCCATCCACAGACTCTCTCTGCTTTCACGCGAGATGGAGATGATGGCATGCCAGACAACAAACCAGCGTCCTAGGGCTCCTGAATCTATAGGGAGGGGGCCCTGTAGACCTCAAAGGGCCACATCGTGGGGCCCGGGGAGGCAGCTCAGTGATTTCCCTGTCTGTTCTGATCTCCCAATCAGCTAGGTTTGGCAATCGCAATTTTTCTTTTATTCTTTTCTCCCAGAAAGTTCACCAGTAGCCCAGGTTAGCCATCAGTTCAATATATATCAGAGGATGACCTTAAACTCTGGATTCTCCTGCTTCCTAGGGCTGATTTCTGTTTTTTTCTCTTCTGTTTGTTATTTGTTAATAAAGTGAAATTATTGATAGACACTAAAAATGCCTTCGTTTGTTTGTTTTTGAGACAGGGTCTCTCTGTAGCCTCAGCTGACCTAGAACTCAATATGTAGACCAGGCTGGCCTTGGTCTAACAGAGATCTGCCTGCCTCTGCCTCCTGAGTGCTAGGATAAAAGGCTTGCACTGCCACACCTGGGTACTTTAACCCTTTTAATAAAAGAATTCAATTGTTTATATTCAAGGTAATTAGTACTAAAGATTTACTACCATTGTATTACTTTTTAATTCTTTTATAATCTCTTCTTTTCTCTTACTACCTTCTTTTAGGTTAAATGATTTTCTTTATTAGTGTGTTTTGAATCATGGTGTATTATTTTTAGTATATTATCTAAGTTTTTCCTTTGAAGTTACCACCAGGTTTACAAAATCTTATAATGATAACAAGTTATTTTAACAGATAATAACATAATTTTGATCACAGTGAAAAGAATTAGACTAAAACTCAACACCAGAGCTTCATCTTTCCATTTTGAATTTTTTTTTTTTTTGGTCTTTTTGAGACAGGGTCTCCCTGTAGCCCCAGCTGTCCTGCAACTCACTATGTAGGCCAGGCTGGCCTTGAACTCACAGAGATCCATCTGCCTCTGCCTCCCAAGTGCTGGGATTAAAGGCATGAATTTTTATGTCACAATTTTAATCTTTTCATTACTTGTCTCTTGAAAATTTGTTGTAGTTATAATCTTTTAAAATACTTTATCTGTGGGCTGGAGAGATGGCTCAGTGGCTAAGAGCCACTGCTCTTGCAGAAGACCCAGGTTTGGTTTTCAGCACCTACATGGCAGATAGCGGTCATCTGTAACTCCAGTTCCAGGGGTTCCAGCTCCCTCTTCTAGCTCTTCCACGCAGGTGGTTCACCTACATACATGGAAGTAGAATACTCACACACATAAAACTTTAAAAATGCTTTATCTTTTCACCTACATATTAAGGATATTAGTTGATTAAACACCACAGTTACTGTATTAGCATTCCTAAATTTGTTTCTTTTTACTAGTGTTGATACCTTCATCTGTTTCCTTGTTATGAGATAGTGTCCTTTTCTTTCAGTTTGGAGAGCTCCTTTAGCATTTTTTTTTGTGGGAGAAGTCTTATGGTGATGAGTTCCCTCAGGTGTGTTTCTCTGTGTAAGTCCTTTTCTCTCCTTCATATCTGAATGACAACTTTGTTGAGTACAATATTCTTGTGAAAGGACATTATATAGATATAACCCACTCCATATAAAGCAAACTGGTCATCCTCTGGGTGAAGAGGAATACATTCACAAGATCAATTGCTGCATACTAAATTCCCTCACCTAGAGCAATGGCCTCTGCAGCAGTCCCAATATCTAGTATTGTTGGTGCCAAAGGTAACAGTAAGCATTGAGCTACTTATAATCAATGGTATGTCTGCAAATACTATCTTGTGCACAAGCAAATATGGGGCTGCAGAATGGAAAAAGTCTCATACAACATGTTGTCTTAAGTATAGCCATAGTGGCAGTTATTTTAGACCCTAGGCAGCTAACATGAAATGACACTATGTGTTGGTAATCAGATGAGTTCATGGTCCCTATGTATCCCACCCACTAAGGTGGCCACAGCTATTGCAATTCCTATCAGGCTTGAGAGACACATGCAATTGGAGGCGCATACAAATAGCACAGCAAGCTGGGTGTGGTGGTGCATGCCTTTAATCCCAGCACTTGGGAGGCAGAGGTAGGCGAATCTTTGTGAGTTCAAGGCCAGCCTCATCTACACAGTGGCCTGGAGCTACAGGGAGACCCTGTCTCAAAAAGACCAAAACCAGAAACAAATAGCACAGCAATGCCAATATTTCATTCAGTAGTGGGAACCACAACAATGAGGATTAGAAGGTTTCCTAAATCAAGAGAAAATTAGGTATTTTCTAGCTGTTTTGATGATATGGAGTACGAGGACCATAGGCACTTATGTGCTGGTGTGTAAAAGGCCCAAGAAATGCAATTCGCTTCCACTTACCACTGAATTCTAACCTTGTCATAGAGCCGCTAAGGCTCCTGTATTTAGAGGTATTTTTATATGCAATATTAGATATTCTTCAGAAACTCATTATATCTCTACTAGTATTTTAGATGAATTAATACCACTTTTGCATTTTTAGAAAAATATTTTCGTGGTTTTGTTTGCATTTTAAAAATATTTGTATTAATTCTTTGAGAACGTCATACAATATATTTTGATCCTATTCACCCCTTCATTGCTCCCCTAACTCTTTCAAGATCCACCCTCACTTCCCTAAGCCCCCCAACTTCATGTCCTCTTTTTTGTTTAAATAACACATCAAATCCAATTTGTACTTCCCATGTACTCCTGGGTGTGAGGCCATTCATAGGAGCCTGGTCAACCTAAGTGGCCTCACACACTTAAAGAAGCTGACTCTCCCTCTCCCAGCAGCTATCAATTGCCAGCTGTTCCCAGCGAGAGCTGGGGCTTCTTGTTTACTCCACCTCCATGTTGGGTTCTTGTCTGGCTTGATCTTGTGCAGGCCATGTGCAGCTCTGTGCATGCTGTCACAATTTCTGTGAGTTTATACGTGCAATGACACTCTTGTGTTCAGAAAACACTGGGTCTTTGTAGTCACCCACCACCTGTGACTCTTAGAATCTTTAAAAAGTATTATTTTAAGTGTTTAAAAATATTTTAATTAATTCTTTGAGAATCTCATACAATGTTTTTGATCATATTCACCTCTAACACCTCCCAGGTCCACTCCCTTCCTTACTTACCCTACTTTGCATGTTCTCATTTACTTTTTAAACCCATCGAGTCCAATTTGTGCTACTTATATACTCTTAGGTGTGTAGTCATCCATGGGAGCCTGGTCATACCCTTAAAGAAAACTGACTCTCCCTCTCTGAGCAAGCATCAGTTGCCAATTGCTTGTCAGGTAGGGGTAGATTCATGCTCACCTCCCCACTCCAAGCTGGGATTTTGTCTTACTTGAGCTTGAACACGTGAGTATGCTTGTGCATACTGTCACCACCATACTGTGAGTTCTCATATATGCAGCTGCCTTGTTGTGCCTAGAAAACACACTTTTCTAGTATTCACCAACCACCTGTGGCTCTTACTATCTTTCTGGCACATCTTCTGAGACGGTCCCTGAACCCGGGGAGGGAGTATGATGTACATGTCTCATTTAGGGCTGAGCACTCGGCAGTCTCACCTCAGAGGTAAGTTTTTATAGCTCCCTATATTGTTTATATTTGAAATCCCGATGGCCTGAATAAAAAGTCCAATTTGTACCCAAATTTACCAGGAAAGGTGGGGATAGCATCACCAGGCAGGTCCATACTGGGCCCCATTAAGACCGCATTGCTCTACAGTCTCCTTTGAGGTACCGTTGTTAAAGCAAACCCATACATATTTTTGAGAGGGCCATTGCCCAGATAATCCAGAAGAGGGCACACAATGATCATTTTATGAATTTTGGGGGTCATTTTTTGCTGTTTTCTCATTAATCTCCTTTTTTTTTTCTGTCAGGGAACTTTTTATTTAAGATCCAGATTGTATCAGGAAATGACAGACATGATCTCATTAAGTGGTTTAATGAGGTTCAGTAAACAACAGGGGCAGCACAAAAAGACTGTAAAGTTTGCGTCTTGTTAACAATCTCATCATCAGATGTCTTTATTTCCTCATACTAAAACTAAAAGACCATCAGTAGGCTACAGGTACTGACGAGTCTCTTTCAGGGTGGTCCAGACATGTTTTCCAGTGAGATTATTATTGAACCAACCTAGGTGTCCATCAACAGAGGAACTAATAAAGAAAATATGATTTATATATACAATGGATTTTTTTCCAGCCATAAAAAGAATGAAGTTATGTCATTTTCAGGAAAGTAAAACTACAAACTTGTCACACGATCATGAGGAAAAAGAGCCTAGTATAATTAACAGCTGCAAGATACCTGCTAGGTTGGAAACTAATAACCCTGGCTAGATCTGGCAGCCAGCAGATAGCCCAAGTCATCAGTTAACAACGCAGAAGTCAAAGATTGAAAGAAGGGGGCTGTAATGTGTGGCTACCTCTAATTGGTCAAGCAGCATGTGAACAGCACATGATTATCTCCCTGGTTTGGCCAAGGGGATGGGAGAAGAGCTTGCACATTTCAGCTGGTTCAGTCAGTGATATTCTCAGAATTAACCAATCTCAGTAGAAATTACCTTAGTCTTTGCCTAGTTGCAACCATATTTTTTTCCAGACCAGGCATAGTTCAACCTTCTTTTTTGAAATTATGTTTATTTTTATTTTACACGTATGAGTGAGTTTTTTGCCTGCATGTACGTGCATCTGTGCATACCATGCCCACAAAGGCCAGAAGAGGTGTCGGATTCCCTGGAACTGTAGCTATGGATGGTTGTTAGCCACCGTATGGGTGCTTGGAATTGAATCAGGGTCCTCTGCAAGAGCAGCTAGTGCTCTTAACCACTGCGCAATCTCTCCAGCTATGTCCAAACTTCTTTTAAAAAATCATTTTATTTTTATTTTATGTGTATGAATGTTTTCCCCGTATGTATGTGCACCTGTGTCTGTCATGCAATGCCTGTAGAAGTCAGAAGAGGGCATCAGATTCCCTGGAATTGGAGTTAAGAACAATTGTTAGTCACCATATAGATGTTGGGGACCAAACCTGTGTCCTCTGGAAGAGCAGTCAGTGTTCTCAATCACTGAGCCCTCTCTTCAGCCCCCTGCTCCCCCCATAATTCTTAAAAGTATCTACACAAGACACTTCATGGCAACCCCCTCAGGTCCCCTCCTACTCTCTGGAGTTTATTTTTTCCTTATTTCTCACTTTTCCTTAATTTTGAGTCTTTTATTACAGCAAAGACGAAAATAAGACAGCATGGAGTTATTAGCTGTTAATTTTGAAGTTTTAGTTAATGGCATTGAAATTTCAGAGATGAGTCTTGATCAAGCAAGTATGAACTAAAGTCCCCCTTTCCCTAAAC